TTTTCTTTTGTAGGAGGCAGTTTCCATTCTCCTGGTCATCCCCATTGCCCTTCTTGTTCCTATGGATCCTCCTCAAAGAGTGGGGTCCTGACAGCAGGTGGGGTCTGACTGATTTATAATATACAGGTAGTCCTTGTTCAGCGACTCTTCAAAGTTATGATGGCACTGAATGAGGGGGACTTATGACGGTCCTCATAGTTGTGGCGATTGCCGCATCCCCGCGGTCACATGATCGGAATTTAGGCACTTGGAACTGGCTCTCAATTACAGTGTTGCAGCGTCCTGCGGTCATGTGATTTGCAACCTTCACTGCTGGCTTCTGCCAAGCAAAGTTAATGGGGAAGCCAGCAGGAGGTCACAGATGGCAAACATGTGACTGCAGGATGCTGCAACAATGCAAGATTCGTCTAACAACGGCAACTGGGACTGACAGAACTGCCGTCGTAAGTCGGCGCAATCACATGATGTCGCACCTTACAATTGCGTTGCTTAGCAACGGAGTCCCCGGTCCCAATTACCATCGGTAAGCAAGGACTACCTGTAGTGGAACTGCTACTTTCGGTGGTTTGGGAACTGTCGGGCCTGAGCAGGGCCATTCGTGAAGCAAGTCAGTCCAACCCACCAGAGGGCATTGCAGGCGATGAAGCTGGAAGCTGACCAGTTCCTGGCCGGGGGAGGGGGCATTTCTGGTTGTCCCCAGAGTTTCTCCACTGAAAGGGAAGGAAGGCCAGCTTGAGGGTGCGGAAGTCCCTTAAATCCTGCAGCTGAAACTTCCCAAAGAGGCCGTTTTTGCCTTGCGGCTCGAGAAAGGGAGCTGTTTGAATGACCAGAGCCGCTCTCCCCCAGCCCCGCAAAACCCCAGCCAAGGGTTTCATGCATCCAGCGCTGTGCTGGCCGTCTGAAATACTGAAGCTGCTGCTGGCCTTCCCCAACTTGGCGTGCCGCCACGTCTGGAAGGTCCCAGTTGGGGAAAGCTGCCGCGTCCCCTGTGTGGTACATCTTTGGATGTGTGGAAGTGGTTCCCCTCCAGGGCCAGGGCCTCGCTCTGAATGCGGAGGGCTTTTCCTCCTCCTGCACATTTCCTTCCCTAAGAAAAACAGCTTTTCCAGGGGCTAAGGCTGAAAGAGGGGCTTGCCAGGATGGTGCAGGGATCAGCCCTCAGGCTCCTCTTAGCCTCTCTGATGGTTGGAGACGTATTCTAGAGCACGGCTGCCGTCCTCCAGCATGGAGCGCCACGGAGCAGCTTTGTCCAGAGGCCTCCCGAGGCTCAGTCGACAAGCTCTGCTCCTGCTCCCGGGAGGGCGGGGGCCATCTTCTATCTCCCTTCTGCGGCCGGCTGCTTGCAGGAGCACCTGGCGCTGAGGCCCTCCCCCAGCACATGCTCAGCCCCAGTGCACAGGAGGTTGCCTGCTTGCGCTGGGCACGAGGCCTGCACGGGAAAAGCGGCTTGTTTTGCCAAGTAGCGCCCTCTGGCCTCCCACGGGCAGAGCTCCTGGGTGCCGTGCTCCAGGGGAGCCCTTTTGCTGGGGTGGGCTTTCATTTCTTTCTTTCTTTCTGGCCCTACAGTTGACAACCCTCCGCGGTGCCATCCTAGAAGATGCAACACCCACCACCACCAAGCACGGCACTGTCCGTGGTCTCCCCCTGAAGGATGTGCTGGAGCATGTGGTCCCCGAGCTGAACATTCACTGCCTTCGCCTGGCCCTGAGTGTGCCCCAAGTCTCTGAGCAGCTGCGGAAGCTGGATGAGCAAGGGGTAAGCAAGCTGTGTGCGAACTGGGCTGAGGAGGAACAGCCAGGGCAGAGCGGACCCTGGATTCTTCTCCTTGCCCGCCCGCCTTCCCTACGGTGCATTAAGACCCTTTTCTCTGCCCAGAGGCTCCATGCCTCCCCAGGGTCCCTCCTTGGTTTGGCCACCAGCTGGCTTTGCTGGCAGACTTCCCGGGCTCTGAGTGGGACTCCCCTCCCTCCCCCCAGCTCTGCCGGAAGCACAAGGTGGGCATCCTGTACTGCAAGGCCAACCAGAGCTCGGAAGAGGAGATGTACAACAACGAGGAGGCCGGGCCTGCCTTCGAGGAGTTCTTGGCCCTGCTGGGAGAGAAGGTGTGCCTGAGGGGCTTCCGCAAGTATGCCGCGCAGCTGGATACCAAAAGTAGGTCCTTGCTGAGGTCTCTTTAAGGGTGTGGTAGGGCAGGACTCCGCCGGTATCTTGCACACCCTCCCTCGCTCTGCTCGGGGGGAGTCTGACAGGCCCCGGCCTCCCTCCTAAGTTCTGCCTGGTGGCTTTCCTTGCAGCCGACTCCACAGGCACCCACTCCCTCTACACAACCTATCAGGGCTACGAGATCATGTTCCACGTGTCCACGATGCTCCCGTACACCCCCAACAACAGACAGCAGGTATCTGGCTCTCAGCAGGGCGGGGAGGTGGGGACATCGAGCCTAGAGGAGAAGAGAGGACCCTTCTCTGTCTTGGGTGGCCGCGGATGCATCCTGGAGTTGAACTGTGGTATTGCTACCAATCGTGGGGCTCGGTTAGTGGTTTTGGCCCTGTCATTTCTCTTCTTTTTCACAATGACCCCCCTCCCCCGCTTATGAGAAAGCTGTTCTCCCGCCCCCAGGAGGAAGTCCATGAGCTTCTGATCTCCTGGCCCTGCCGGGGCCATCTCATTCTGGTCTCCTGGGCATTCAGCTGGGATCAGGGCTCTCTTCCTTCCCAGACTCTGAAGTCCGTCTTCCCCGCTAGTTGCTCAGGAAGAGGCACATTGGGAACGACATCGTCACCATCATCTTCCAGGAGCCGGGGGCCTTGCCCTTCACCCCCCAGAACATCCGCTCTCATTTCCAGCATGTCTTTGTCATTGTCTGTGCCCAGAACCCCTGCACGGAGAATGTCCGCTACAGGTAAGTCTGCGTGAGGCAGGGCTATGGCCTGAGTCGGGGAAAGGCTTTGCCATCGTGCTCCCTCTGCACCTGAGGAGCAGTGGTGAGGAAGTCATCTCCCTGGCTGAGACTCCATGGAGCCCCTGTCTGTCTGCAGCTTCTCGAGTCCTTTGCTGGCTCCGGTGGCCTCGTTGGGGCTCCGGAGTTCGGCTGAAGGGGCCGTCTCTTTCTGATTAAGGGTTAGGGGTGCGAGTAACGTTTGCAGCTCCAGCTCCTTGGGCAGCTGATCCTCAGTCCAGATAAAAGGTCTTGAACCCTCAGGTTAAGGTTCAAGTGGGCCTCGGCAGTCCTACTCCTTGGGATTGACCCAGAAAGGAGTCGCCGAGGAGGTAACCTTTCAGCGGCCTGTGTAGTCTCAGCCACAGGCCTGTGTTTTCATTTCCATGTCCCAAGCGTGGCAGTGACCCGCTCCAAAGACGTCCCCCTCTTTGGGCCGGCCATCCCGAGTCAGGCCACCTTCCACAAGTCCGATGTCTTCCGAGATTTCCTGCTCGCCAAGGTGATCAATGCAGAGAACGCAGCCCATAAGTCGGATAAGTTCCACACCATGGCCACTCGCACTCGGCAGGAGTACCTGAAGGACTTGGCGGAGAACTGCGTCACCAGCACCCCAATTGACTCCACGGGGAAGTTCAACCTGATCTCTCTTGCCTCTAAGAAGAAGGAGAAGACAAAAGCCCGGATCGGGGCCGAGCAGTACAGTGCTGGGGCTGTTGTGTGGCGCGTCCTTGCGCAGGATTACTCCCAGGGAGCGGAGATGGAATGCGTCCTGGGCATCTCCAATGAGCTTGTGGTCCTGTTGGACCTGGCTGCTAAGGAAGTGGTGTTCAACTGCTTTTGTGCAGATGTGATTGGCTGGACGCCGGACAGCTACAGCCTCAAAATTTTCTATGGACGTGGGGACCATGTTTTTGTCCGTGCCCCAGAGAATAATCCAGATGACATTAAAGAGATTGTGCAGCGGCTGAAGGTCAGTAGCGCCCCTGTCCATCGGTTCATTAGGATGGGTTGCCGTTGGCTGGCAGGGGGTTGGAAGTGGTCCTTCTGACCCCAGGGTTGCGCACTTTCACCCCAGGTCGTGACCTCTGGTGCCGAGACGGTTGAGATGACGCTCCGGAGGAATGGGCTGGGGCAGCTGGGCTTCCACGTGAAGTTTGACGGGACGGTGGCCGAGGTGGAGGACTACGGCTTCGCCTGGCAGGCCGGCCTGCGGCAGGGCAGCCGGCTAGTGGAGATCTGCAAGGTGGCTGTGGTAACACTCAGCCACGACCAGATGATCGACTGGCTGCGCACCTCTGTCACGGTGAAAGTGGTGGTCATTCCTCCACATGAGGATGGCGTTCCACGCAGGTAAGCCTAGAGGAGGAAGGAGCCAAGGTGGGGGACCATCAAGGGCTCCTTTGCTCCGCCAGAGACGCGTGAGGCCCTTTGCTGCCGATGCAGCCTCAGGACAGAATTGAGCCTCTGAATAACCTCTGTCCTGATGGCCAGTGCAATGTGTAGGCCCTGTGCAGGGCCAGGAGGTCTGTCCCAGCGACCTTCCGAACACAAAAGCTGCCAGCCTTTCTGCCCTGGGTCAGCCAGCTCCTTGCCTTCGTGGGCTTTCGGAACTCCTCGCAGAAGGAGCTTTTGACCTGCTGGGCTGGTTCTCTCGTCCTGGGCTGTGATGCCCCCACTTGCGCACTGCCTTACCTGGGGATCGTCAGGGAAAGGCAGCTGGCTTTTGAGATGGGGGTACCATAGGCCGGTTCTGTTGGGATGACCGCTCCCGCCCTCTGTTCTCCCGTGCTTGGAGGAGGCTTCAGCAGCCGGCCGGAAGTGGGAGCAGCGGTTCTTCTGGAACATGGCCGTGGATGGCCGACTGGCAGGACTGTCAGGGTACCTGGCCTGCCTTTCGGGGCAGAGCCCCAAAAGCTGCTGAAATCCAGGCTGTGCTTCATGTGGGGAAGCAGAGGGAGGCCAGCTGGTGGCTGGTTGGAGTCCACGGAGGAAGGGAGCAGCAGTGACCCCTTTGGGAGGGCGGGGGGAGCCGGGGTCAGAAGAGAGGCTGAGGGAGTCCCGGGACTCCGGGTGCCCATCCTCTGACCTTGGGACTGGCCTTCGCTTTAGAACGAGGGCGCCGCCTTTGATCCGGACTGAACAGCCTCTGAATACGTGTGGAGGGGAAGCAAGCCCAGAGGCCACGTTCACGTGGACCCTTCGTGTGGGCAGGTTTAAACGTCTCTTGTGCATTAAGCGGTAGTGCAGAAGGGAAGCTGCTGAGGCTCCGGCTCGCCACGTGGTTCCTTCTTGACTTTCAGCTATCGTGGTTATCCCCCGTACTGAACTCCTCCCTCCTCTGCTTGTTGTCTCCCCCAGAGAAAACCTGCCCAGTTAAGAGACGGGAGGAGGAGGAGAAGGAGGTGGTGGTGCTGGAAGAGTTAAATAGCTTCCCAGCCCTGCTCCCAGCTTCCCACCTGGTTTTCCAGGTGTGGTTGGCAAAGCAAGTTGAGGCACCGATGACTTGCTGGCAGAGCCTCCCTCCCCATCAGCTCTCCATGTTGCCAGTGCAGGGATCATGCGCTGAACTTCCGCTCATGTGGTGGCTGGGCTGGTGTTTGACCATCCAGTTGCTCTTTTAGTTCACGGAGCCAGGGAGGTGCCCAGCAGAAGCAGGTAGTGAGGCCTTGGCGTGGGGGGCTGGAAGCTAGGTGTTGCCCAGGGGTTCTTCCTGCCAAGGCTGCTTTTGCTATTTGCCCCCCGGCCCCAAGGCGGCTCCCGAGTTGCCAGCTGCAGAGCCGGCTCCGATGGGTTAGTCTGCTGACACCTGCAGTTGTGTGAGCGGCAGAGGAGCACCACAAGCGTGGGTGCATTCCCGCCAGTCAGGTCAGGGTGCCCGGAGAAAGGGAGGCTGCCGTGGCAGCTGCCCTTCCTGCCAGACTAGGCCTCTTTCTGGAGCAGGGCTCCTGCCTGGCTGTGAGTTTGGCTTGGGCGGGGGCCAGTGGGGCCCTGCAAGGGCTGAGCTCCCGTAAACACAGGCACCTGAAGCAGGCAGGAGGGAGGGTCCCAGGTTGGCTGCCCTTGGAGAAGGGCCTTAGGGCTGCTTGCAGGCTGGGGGAACCAGGGTGCACCAAGCCCGGAAGGCAGGTGGTTGTCAAGGCAGGAACGGAACAGGAAGGGGAAGGCCTACCTCTGGTGTCCCCATGGCTTCCCTTCTTAGGCAGCTGGGCCAGCCTTCTCTGCAAGGTTCCTGACTCCTCCTGGCCCGGGTTTTCTCTCCTTTTCTACAGGGGATGGGCTGAGTCCTTGAAGATGAGCATGATGGAGCCCAGGGGGGAACCCGAAAGCCTGCTGGGGGGCTATCGGCCTCCGTACCGCAGCAACTCAGCCTGGCAGTGGAGCGGCTCTGCCACCCACAGTTTCTCCCAGCCCTCCAAGTGGGCTGAGCAACCGGGGCCTGGCCAGTCCCAGTCCCTTACCAGGACCCCCAAGCAGAGCACCCTGACTCCTTACCGCCAGGCTCAACCCCTGCATGGCAAAAGGTGAGCAGAAGGGGAAGGCCTGGCGGCTTGCTGAGAGGCGGCTGGGCCTTGGTGCCCCTCGGCCATTCTTCCTTCCTTTTCCTGGACCGACCCACGGGCTCTGGCCTCCCTGGGGCAGGACGAGTTTTTGCAGCCTGAGGACAATCCTGTGGCCTGTTCTCAGCTTGATTCCGCCTACCTGTGGTCTCCGTCGGACGCAGCCTGGTGAATGGCCCTATTCCCCCTCAGTTCTTGAGGCTGCAGGAGACCTGCATGACTGCTGAGGCCCAGCTGTGGGCACAAACATCTTTCTCCATGCCGTCTCCCTCCCTCTCTAGGCCCGCAAGCTTCCCAGAGACCCCCCGTGTGGTGTCATCCTCCCAGATCGGAGCAGAGAAGATCCAGTCATACCGGCAGCCCTCTGGCAGTTTCTCAATGCCTGGTTCTTCAGGAGGAGCCTCCACCTGGTACAAGCCATCTCCAGAAAGGTCTGTGGAACGAGTGAGATGCCCAGGCCTCTTGGTCCCCAGCGCTTCGGCGATTGGGTCCTGATAAAGCTTGGCTTTTTGGTCATGAGGATTCTTTTGGCTCAAGGGTCTGCCTCGCCTGCAGTAAAGATAGAGGGCTTGTCCCAGAGAACTAGGGGCATGCCTGGCATCTGGAGTGGTTTATTTTGAAGTTTACTGCCTAGAACTTTGCATCCTGCTCCAGTTCTAGGGCTGAGGGGTCCAGCTTTCCTTCTAAGCAGCAGCCAGAGGCCAGTTTGGAAGTGGACAGGCAACGCTGGGCAGGATCTTGCAAGTCCACCCGGGCGAGGGACATGGTGAAAAACCAGGAAATGCAAATGTAGCTGAAGCTGCACAGCTGTTTGCTTTGGGGTGGTGGGGGAAGAACCTTCAGCCTTCGCAGAGGGCTGCAGTACACAGAATCCATTGATGGGAGTGGCTTCCTACGTGGCTGCCTGAGATGCTGGTATGGGGAATACAAAGAACGCTGCGTTGGTAACGGGAAAGCGGTTCAGAGGGGATAGGCCAGCATCGCTGAGAGGGAAGGATCATTCCCTAGGTTGCAAACAGGTCTGTCTACTCCAAACGTTGACCCCAGCATGATTCTGCCTGAAAAGAGGCTGTTAACAAGAGAGAGACCCCCATTCTGCATAACTCGCCTCAACGAACAGTCACACTGTGGCATTCTGAACCAAGTGAAGTGCCCAGAAATGCAGAAGGGAGCTGAAGGGAAGGGTCCCTTGGAAAGCCTTCTGGACACACACAGGGGCTCTGAGCTGCAGCTGGTGGTTCTTGAGCCGTGTTGTTCCATGCCTGGCACATCAGCTGATGCCCCTCCGGGGACCCTGCCTTGGTCCCTTCATAATCCCCCTCCCCCCTCCCCTGGATGTACCTCTGTTGCCTGGGCCTGGGAGCTGAGCACAGGAGGAGCTGGCTCCTTCTTCCGCTCTGGTGCCCGCCTCCCCCCTCCAAGCCTGGTATTTTTAAAACCTGCGAACGAACAGGGCTGGGTGCTGCTTTTCCCACTCTGTCAGATTGCCGCTTTGAGCTGCCGTCCTTTGCTTTCAGCGCTGTCCACAGATACGTGCCACCCCCGCGGCCTCTGGGGCCTTTTGAGCCGCTCTGCCCCTCCGAGGCGACCTCCAACGGGGACCCCTCCTTGTCTGGCGGAGGGCTGGCAAGCCGGGAGAGCATCATGGAGAGGCCCAAGCCTGGTAAGCACAATTGCGGGCCTGGCTGCGATCTCAGGGGTGGTCTCTGCGTGAAGCCGCCAGGCGTCCAGCCGAGGAGGAAGTGCCCGTCTGCAGCTCCCGGCGTGCCTGGGCAAAGAGAGGGCTTCTCCTTCCCAGCACGGGACCAGGCAGGCGACATGTGCCTGCTGGCTCCCCCAGGAGGTCCTGAGAGAAGGGTGCAGGGCCGTGGCTGCGCCAGAAGCATCTCTCTTGCTGTTCCTTGCAGCCTGGCATTACATGGCATGGCACAGGAAGGCAAACACTTTGGCCAGGACAGACCTGGTTTGGGGTGGCAGTGGGAGGCCGACTCCCTCTCTTCCTCGGGGTGCCCTCAAGGGAGGGGTTCCCACTGACCCCTTTCCTTGCTCTGTCCAGAGCTACTGTGGCACGTGCCAGGGCCCTCCAGATTCTCAGTGGCTTCTGGGAACAAGCGGCTGAGCCAGTGGGAGCTGGCTGGCAAGGACTCCCCAGACCGGCCCCTCAAGGTGAGTGTGAGCTCCCGGGGGTCAGCAAAGCTTCTCGGGTGCCTCCCTGCCCCTGCGGCTGACCATCCACCCCCCCCTGCAGGGTGAGGGGCAGAATTCCAGCAGCAACACACTCTCCAGCAATGCCTCCAGCGCCCACAGCGACGACCCAGCCGACCCCACCGAAAGCGTGCTAGACCCCTGGGCCAAAGGCGGGGCTTCCAGCGACAGCAGCATTGACGCCAATGGTGCCATGTCTGCACGGCGGGACCGAGTGCCTGTCTCCTCACCCCTCTTTGGCCCCGCCTTCCCGGAAGGCCATGGCAAGAGGACGGAGGCAGCCTGGCCCACAGGCTGCTTGGGCAGGCGGAGCTGGAATTACTGTCCCAGGGCCTTTGGGAGAGGAGCCGGTGTCTCCGTGAGGGGGGGCAGCAGCAGCAGCAGCAATCCGGAGCCCTTTTGGCAGGCCAGGTGAGTGGCCCTGCAGGAGCCCCCCAGCATCACCTGGACCCTGAAAGCCTGGTGGGGTGCGCATGCCTGTGAGGCACTGGGGGCTCTGTGGCTCTTGCAGGGGAGACGAGACTTGGGCTGCTGGGTTTTCAGACGGGGCAGTCCTCCTGGGCAAATGGATGGGTGCTTCGGTGTTGATTGATCTATAGCCACGGCGGGGAGAGATCCTTGCTGCTGGCACTGGGTGCTTTCCAGGGCTGGGAGGTGGGGCGGTGCTCCCTCTTCCCCGCCCCAGAGAGAGGCAGGGCGCCTTGTGTCCAGGGGCCAAATGTTGGGCGGGCAGGTGGGCGGTCTCCCAAGCCCTGTTTCTGCAGAGGCCAGCTACGGGTCCATCTCACACAAGTCACCTTGTGTGAGATGGGCGGCTATATAAATGTGATAGACAGACAGATAAAATAAAATAAAATAATATAATATAAACCCGCAGACTGCCTGTCTTTCTTTCAGCCCCGGTGGCTCGAGGTCAACATACCCCATCCAGGTCTACAAGACTCCCCCAGCGGATGCCTCCCGGGCTGCCCCCAGATCACAGCTGAGCTCCTCACAGCTCTCAGCTTCTGTGCCCAAGTCCTTCTTTTCCAAGCAGAGCAGCCGGAGTGCCAAGGCCCTACCAGCTGGGTGGAAGAAGAGCCAGGACGCTTCAGCGAGGCCCGTCCCCTTCGCAGACCCCCCAAAAGTCGAATAGCTGCGGTTTGGAGCACAGGCGGGAGGGGGCAGTGCTGAGCCGGGCTTTTGCCCTCTGCTGGGCCTCCCGTAGAGGCGGCTGCGGGCCAGTGTACAGCTGCCTTGGGCGTGACGAGAGAGAGGCCGAGGCTTCTGACCGAGGCGGAAGGGGTGGCCGCTGATTGGGTCCATGCCCGGCCCAGCAGCGTTACGGCGTGGATGGTTCCGTGGCCAATGCCTGCCAGTCGGGCGTTCTCCCAGGAGTGGGCGATCTCAGGTGTTCTGTGGCAGCCTCAAGTTCCAGAGCAGGAGGAAGCTGGCCAGCCAGCCCAGCCCGGGCAGAATCAGGGGCTGCCAAGCGTGGCTGCCTTCCGGGTTCCCTCTGCTCCTTTCTCGGCCTAGTCTGGGGGAAGCGCGGCTGCTGCTGGGGAGTGTCCGGGCCTTGGGGGCGTCTGCTGGAGTGGGGGAGCTTCGTTGTGTGGGGAGGGGGAGCTCACGACCTCCTCCTCGGCCAGCAGGCAGGTTGACCTGAGTACCAAGAACGTCTTTGGGCAGCCTCGGCTGCGGGCTTCTCTTCGCGACCTTCGGTCCCCGCGCAAGACCTATAAGTCTACCATTGAGGATGATCTGAAGAAGCTGATCATTATGGACAGCGCCAGTGTGGAGCAGGATAAGGAGCTGGTGAGCGGGGTCCCCCTGTCCCGCCAACTCTCCTTCCACCCTGTGTAATGGCGGTCTGCTGAAGGGCGGGGATGAGTTGCATTTTTAGGACCTGCCAACTTAAAAGGGCCCGACGGTTCCACATCACAGCTGGCGTCAGGACCTCCCCCAAGTGGACCTGGTGGGGCGGGGAGGGGAGAGGCTTCATGTCTGGTCCCCGAAGCATCCAGGGAACTTTTTGAGCCCTGAGCGGGGCCCGAGGCCTTTGTGGCCTTTTCTAACCGGAAGGAGATGCCCGTTTTGAGTCTTCCCAGGAATCCCTTTCAAGTCTTGGAAAATTGAGAGCTGTGGGGTAAAGGGACCTTTGAAGAGGATCTCCTCCTCTTCCCCACAGACCCCGCAGAAAACGCTCCAGCGGACCCTCTCAGACGAAAGCTTGTGCAGTGGTCGCCGAGACCCCACCTTTGCCAGCAGCTCCTGCTTCGAGCAACCCCTGTCCAGGGATGTGCTGTTCACAAGCACGTATCCCACTTGCACCCTTCCTGTGCGGAAGCCGGCCAGCAGCCCAGGGAGCCTCCTGGAGAAGGGTGAGGGGCAGTCCGGGGGCGCGAAGGGCAGAAGGAGCGAGTCGTGAGGGCAGCTTTGCCCTCCCGAGAGCCCAGCAGAGAGCGGAGGCGCCTCCGTCCGGCCACCAAGCTTGGGTCGCCAGAACTGGTGGGGTAGCTTGCCCTCAGGGGGCTCGGTGGAACCCCAGAGTAACTGGCCCCAGTGTCAGAAGCAGGCTGGTGGCATGGGTCCCTCTCTTCCCAGACAGTCTCAGGGCGCGGGGGGGGTGTCAATCTTTGTCCCGCATTAAAGGCAGGAGGAGGCTAACCGGAGGCCCTTCCTCCAACGTTCAGGTCCTGGCTCACGGGTCTGGGCCGGGGCGGGTCCTTGCTTTCTCTGCAGCCACTGTCTCGGCCTCTGAGCTCTCTCTGACCGAGGTGCGGGACCAGCCCCTGCGGCGCATTGACCCAGCCCTGATGCCGCTGCCGGACACAGCCGCTGGCCTAGAGTGGTCAAGCTTGGTCAGTGCTGCAAAGGCCTATGAAGGTAAGGGGAGGCAGATTTCAGGAGGATGGGGTCCCCGTGCCCCCTTTTCCTCCCCTTCCTGCCCAGGAAGGCAGGGGACACCCAGAGTCCACAAAGGGGCCTGGGGCTCTCCAGCTGGGCTTCCTGGGAGGCTTCAGTGCGACGGCCAGCTGGTCTTCAGGAGCTTCGCATGCTTTTCTACGCCTGTCCCTCCTGCTTCGCCCCGCCCTTTCCGGGTTCTGATCACAGTCCAGTTGTGATCTTGGGAGACGAGCTGCAGCTGTGCCCCCAGCCCCGTGGAGTTGATCAGATCTTTGAGGAAGGAGTGGGCGTAGCGTCCTTTGCTGCCCAAATTTGCCCACTTGATTGCAGGGCCCAAGCAGGAACATCAGGAAGGGGGTGGGGGCGAGGCAGAAGACCCCATGCCTACCCCTGCAAAATGTTCATCCAGAAGGACGGAAAAAGGTGTTCCGGTTCCCCCGATACCAGGATGGTAGATTCTTTAGCGGGGGGATGGCGCTAGGCTGCTTGCTCTTCGGCAGGTGGCATGGTGGGATTTGCTTGCCAGTGGTGGCACGGCTTCCCCGCCCAGCCCTCCCTTCCCCTCCCCAGCTGCAGCCCTTCCCTTCTCCCCGCCTGCCTGCTTTCTCAGGAGGAAAGCGCGCGGCCTGTGTTGGGTACGGTTCCCCCCGGCAGGGAACTTCCTCAGTGCAGGCAGACGTCTCCCTCGCCGGCAGGCCTGCTGGCGGTGTTCGCCTGGCACCGCCTTTCCGGACAAGGGCTTGCTGGGTAAGGGGGAGGTGCTGCTTCCCCAACGGCGAAGGAGAGAGGCAGGGCGCTGGCGCCTGAGGCTTGGCTACGGCCCAGCAGAAAGGTGGGCGATGGCAGAGGAGGGTGGGAGGCAGCGCTGCTGCTCCGGCACGGGCAGCGGAGGTTCCCAAGCAGGGCTTTCTGCCCTGGCGAAGGCTGGGTGCCTCTCTGTCTTGTGAGGCCTCTGTGCTTGGCTCTGCCCGCCATCTCTTCGCTTAGCAGTGAGTATGGCAGCGCCTTGCCCCCGCGGACCTCGGGCAAGCCGTGCTTCCTTTCTGTGCAAATCGGGAGTCGCTGGCCCATGTCTGCCACCGCCACCCAGGCGGAGAAGGGCTGGGCAAGGAGCTGCGGGGGCAGAGCCATCCTTCGGCTGGGCTGAATTCTTGGAGCGCAGCATTGGGGCCGACTGCTACCTGGTAGCACCGGGAACAAATAAGTGAGAAGGCCTGGCAGGGAACGGGGGGCTGCTGCTGCACTGCTGAGGGGCTGGGTGGGACCCCGGTCCTTGCAGAGAGGCTCTCCCACCATGGCTCTCCAAGCAGAACTTCCCTTCTGTTGGCCTTCTGAGTGGCACTCCATTCCCTTACGCTGCATCCCTTGCCCAGAGAGGCTCTTCCTGGCCCCAGGTCGGAGGCTGCCCTCTGCAGCACGTGAGCTCCTCCGCTGCCCGACAGGACTCTGCATCTAGCAGATTGGCATGGCCCACTGCCCTGGCAGCATTGCCAGCCGTGCTGCTGGGAGGCAGGGGGGCCTGGGGGCTTTCGCCTGGCGGCCTGCAGAACCTCCCTCTCCCCCCCTCCTCCCCAGTGCAGAGGGCCGTCTCCCTCTTCTCCCTCCATGAGGCCATGTTGAGTCCAGACACGCCACCGGCTGGCAGCCCTGGCCTTGGGCACTTGAGCCTGGAGAGGCAGCCAACGCCACACGCCGCCCCTGTCTTGAGGTGAGCGAGGGGCTGTGGGGGGCAGTTTTACATTTTGGGAAGGGGTGAGAAAACTTCTTTAAACATTTGGGGAATTAATTTGGGTCTGGGAGGTCATGATGGCAGCCCCATGTCACTGGAGGAGTTGAGGGCAGCGTCGTCCAGCAGGGAGTTTCGGGGGGGATGTTGGCTTGGCCCCTTGTCTTTGAGAGGGAGGCTTTGCCCCGGTGCTGCCGAGGAAGAGCCCCTTTCGGTCTGGGTGAGGCTGGAGCCCCACCTGAGTTTGCAGGTGAGGAGGTGAGCCTGTCTGGGTTGGCAGGGTCTGAGCGGGATTTGCAGAGGCTTTGCTCACGTGGAGTCCTTCGCCCCCTCCCTCCCCCCCCTCCTGCCCCCCCCCCC